CTCGAGGAGGGCCGGATCGGCTTCGAGAGCCCGCCATTTAACCCTGGCGGGACTTCACATTCTCGTTTTCGACGATTACCCGTGGCGTGAATCGGACGAGTGGCCTAGTTGAGGAGCCGGCTCGATCGACACACAGCCCAAAGATTCCGAATTGTCTGGTTTGTTCTGCCTTTACCCCCTTGCCCGTCCCTTAGACGCGTCCGCCGCCGAAAATCAAGAGATTCTTGGCTGGGGGAACAATGACGGTAGCCCTCTTCGAAGTGTGCTCGACGACCGCGACTTTCTTCCCCGGCGAGACAATAAACTCCTAACTCGGCCGAACGCGACTGAAACACTCGCGTTTTCCGATCGACGAGCTTGTCAAGGGAACGCGAGGAGATTCCGCTGGAGATGAGAGAAGGGAGGAAGTTTGCGAATGTTTCGTTTTTTTCGAAGCTCCCTGATGAAAGGTTCATTTTAACGTGCTCAAATGAGTTAAGCTGAGTCTGAGACACTGAATATTTTTACGCGCGTATTTCCTTTCAGTCGAGGGATTATTCAAGTTATTCTCTTCGCAAGAATTGTTAATATTCTGTAGTGTATAAGGAAAATACGGTATACAGAAATTGATGGAAAAAGGAAGGTTCCTGATTTTTAATCGACGAGTTAGGGCGTTAACGTCGCAATCGCTTCAATCCCCGCTCCACTACTGGCACGGATTGATCGGTTACTCACGTTCCCAGCAGAGACTCCATTTTGCGATAGAGTTCCCTTCTGCTTCGACGATGATACACGTCCGGAGGCTCCTGCGATAGCGTGCTCTCGCTGGGCAACTCCCATGCCTGGCCAGCTGTGATCCCGACGGTGGAGAATCCCGTGGGTTCCGCGTATGTGGTCAGCGTCAGGCAATACACTAGCTGAACCATTCGTCAAATACCGGGAAAAACGATCATTGAAAAGCTTTATTTTAATATTTCACGTATTAATGCACGTTACAAAGTTTAACATTACACATACAACTTTATAATTCTCCTACATCGTCCCACGAGTGCAAAATATTGCTAAGCTTTTCCACGGAAATCAAACATTTACTCGTAGAATAGAAATACGTTCGAACGTTCGAAATATCCGTGCAATTATCAATGATTTCGAGGGAAGGATTCCATTGCAAGATGCATTCGCCCGAACGGAGAATTAATTGACAGAACCAGGAGGTATCTCCGCGCAGCCTAATGATTCGTTAACGAATTTGCTTTACGACGGGGATGTTTTCAATTTTCCGTCGCGCGAGCCCCGGTTAATTGCGATACACGGGTATTTGGCACCGTGTGCACGCGCTTCGGCGTTCCGAGGCATTAAATAATTATCACCGCCAAATTACCGGGGTCGATCGTGGCGCGCGGCGCGAGCTCCTTTTAACGCTTACATTTTGCATGCGAGCGTATTCAATGACGGACAGGAGCCCGAGCCGGCTGCTTTAGGCCAGGCCGGGCTATTAGAAATTATTAAGCCATCGTTTACAGCGCAAGTTTCATGAACTTCCGTGCCGTGAAACGTCCCAGGGAGCGGCTCGTGCTCGTGCTCGAGCCGGAGCGCATGCTTCCCTCGTGACTTAATGTAATGAACAAGTTTTTTTACGATGCAGTTACGGTGGTCCGCGTTTCAGGGAACCCGGCGACATTCGCGTTCGAAAGTTTCACTCACTTGAACGTTGCTTCCTTCGGGGAACACCAGGTATTTCGCCTCGAACTCTCTCCTTGACCGGCAAACCGTTCCGTTGACGTCGTTCGCGGATCCCACGACCCAAAACAGGCAAACGAATTCGATCGCCGTAAAGAGGAGCGACGAACGCGCGGCCGGCATCCCGTTCGGTGCCACTGAATTGCTTCAGTCAACCGGACAGGATTTATTGAAACAGTTCACGCGGAACCAGACGCTAAGCGAGTAAAGTGACTCGAGCCGGTGGATGATATAACGACGGGTAACGTCGGTTAGAGTGTTTCTCGGCGTTTAGCGGCGAGTTTTACGGCTCGATCGTTAAACTCAACCTTAAATTAGTCGTTAAACGAGTAAGCGCGAATTGCACGCGTTTCTGTTCGCGCCTCGTGCGGAATCTTCCGGCTGTAATCTCATTCTCCTTCTCGGGGGCCGTCGCGTGACAACGCTC